CAACTCTGCCTTCTCTGTATCCTTCGTCACCAGGGCACCCGCCCCATTCAGCAGTGGGCCCACGTTTTCCCTAGTCTTCCTTTTGCTGTTGATATATTTGAAGAAGCCCTTCTTGTTGTCCTTGACATCCCTTGCCAGATTTAATTCCAAATGGGCCTTAGCCTTCCTTGTCGCATCCCTGCACACTCTGACAATATCCCTATATTCCTCCCGAGTGGCCTGTCCCCTTTTCCACATTCTGTAGACTTCCTTCTTCTGTTGGAGTTTTGCCAGGAGTTCCTTGCTCATCCAGGCAGGTCTCCTGCCCGCTTTGCTGGACTTCTTGCTCATAGGGTTGCACCCGTCCTGAGCCTGGAGGAAGTGATGCTTGAATATGAACCAGCTCTCCTGGGCCCCACTTCCTTCTAGGGTCCTAACCCATGGGATTCCTCCAGGTAGGTTTGTGAAGAGGCCAAAGTCAGCTCTCCTGAAGTCCAGGGTTGCAATCCTACTTATTGCCTTTCTTCCTCCTCTCAGGATCCTGAACTCCACCACCTCCTGGTCACTGCAGCCAAGGCTGCTCCCAACCTTCACATCTCCAACTAGACCTTCTTTGTTTGTTAGTACAAGGTCTAGCAGCACACCTCTCCTCAGCTTCTCCACCAGCTATGTCAAGAAGTTATCATCAATGCTCTGCAGGAACCCCCTGGACTGTTTGTGCCTCGCTGTGCTGTCTTCCCAGCAGATGTCAGGGTGGTTGAAGTCCCCCATGAGAACCAGGGCCTGTAATTATGAGGCTGCTTCCAGCTGTCTGTAGAAGGCCTCATCAACTTCCTCTTCCTGGTCAGGTGGCCTGCAGTAAACCCCCACAAGAGTGTCAGCCATGTTAGCCTGCCCTTTAATCCTTATCTATAAGCTCTCAACTCGCTCTTCACCCACCCCGAGGCAGAGCTCCATACATTCTAGTTGCTCCCTCACATAAAGGGCAGCTCCATCACCTCGCCTTCCTGGCCTGTCTTTCCTAAAAAGCACATAGCCATCCATGACAGCATCCCAGTCATGTGAGCTATCCCACCATGTCTCTGTAACTGCAGTGATATCATGGCCCTGCAACCGCACACAGATCTCTAATTCTTCCTGCTTATTCCCCATGCTGCGTGCATTGGTGTCCAGGCATTTCAGAGAGGCAATCGAGCATGCAGGTTTCTCAGGAGAGGTGCAAGAGGATCCTCCATAGTCATGTCCTGAGCACACTTCCCCAGCTGCAGGCACCCGCAGGAGGCATCCTGACTTGAGCTGTGTTTTGCTGACTGCCCTGTCTCTGTAACTCTCTCCTTCCCCCATCTTTCCTAGTTTAAAGCGCTCCTTACCAAGCTGGCCAACTGGTTGGCAAAGACACATGTGCCCCGCTTAGTGAGGTGGATCCCATCTCTCTCCATCAGCTGTTGATCTTCAAAAGGGGTCCCATGGTCATAGAAACCAAAACTCTGCTGCCAACACCAGCGGTGCAGTTGTTAACTTTGAAAATCCATCTACTCCTCCTCCCATCTTTCCCCCTCACAGGCAGGATTGAGGAGAGGATTGATCTGGGCTCCCAGACCCTTGACCACCATCCCCAGCGCTCTGAAATTCTGTTTGATGGTTTCCAATTTGCCCTTGGTGTCATTAGTACCCACATGAAAGAGCAGCAGAGGGTAATAGTCTGATGCATGGACAAGCCTTGGCAGTCTTTCTATGACATCTCACATTTGAGCCCCTGGCAGGCAGGAAACCTCTCTAGACAAGAGGTCCGGTCAGCAGATAGGTTCCTCTGTCCCCTGCAGCAGGGAGTTACCCACAACAATCACTCGCTGCTTCTTCTGGGTGTTCCCACATGGCACAGGGTCTGTCAGGCCTGTTGCTTCCCTTGAAGCCATGCCCAGTTCCTCCTCAGCCTGGAGGGCACTAAACCTGTTCTTCAAGGGTAAGTCTTGAGGATGAGCAAGAGCCTTTCTCCTTCTACAAGGAGTGACCAGTTTCCAACCTTCTTTAACAGTGTTATGATGTACCATTTCACATAGCACAGAGCCCTCTGGCAGCTCCACTGCTGTGGGGGGTTGGGACTCCTGGAGCTGCACAGTCTCTGAGAATACCGTCTATCTCTTGCTTATCTTCTTGGATACTATGCAGCCTACTGACTTCCTCCCATAACTCCTTTACCTGGCCATACAGCTGATCAACCACAGCACACCTTCTGCGGGAGAGCTGACTGATAGCCCAGGTCTCGTGGAGAGGCCCCAGGCACTCCCTGCAGACTGACACCTGTAGAGCTGCATCTGCTGTCAGAGGGCCTGTCTGGGTTGAAGCCTCAGACACAGCCGATGCAGCAACTCCAACAGCTTCTGGGGAACATGCTCTGCAGCATGTCATGACCGTACCTGAGGAAGCATACACTGCTAAGATTGCAAACAAAGGTGCCATCTTGCACCCTGCTGCACAAACTGCTGCATCTGTCACTGCCTCCAGGAGCTGCACTTTAGGCCTGGCTCTTATATAGGCCTCTGTCTAGCACTGGCTCACAGGGTGCTTGAGCCACACTAATCAAGGGCCACCTGGTTCAAAGGCCCCAACTCCCTCTGATCAGGGGCAGCCAAGAGAACTCCTTAGCAGCAGCTGCATGTAGCTAGAGCTTCTCCCAGGAGAAGTTAAGGCCTCCTGTAGTTGTCCTTGCCTAGCTCCCCTTTCCTGTTTGCAGGACATATCTTCCTGCTAAGACAAGTCACTGGGCTTCTGGCCATTAGTTGATTTGTGGAAAAAAGTAATTGGCGACAGTATGAATATCAAATGATAAATCTTTAGCAGTAAAGTTTAGAAATTAACATACATATTTAGAAGGAAAAAGAGAGTATGGGTAATGATGCAGGTGCCTGTCTTACATTTTACACTTTCTGTTTTCAAATCTGCTTATTTTGTTCCCATGACACTTCCGTAATTATCACATGCATGGGTCATTACTGGATCGTTGCTAGTATGAATTACAGTGCTATACCTCTTGCTGAAATTCTTACTACTAGCCTTATCATTCCTAAATTGTATGGAGGTCACTCTGAAAGGTGCAGTTAATTCTGGATTCCAGAGATAACCGAGAATAACGTGTTTATACATGAGTGTTTTTTTCCATTCCTTTTGTAATTCAGAGTGTCCTGGGAATTTCATTCTCTCAGCCTGAATATATTCACTATCTTCTCCCTCTTACTCAACAGTAAGACCCAATTTCCTTGGTATCGTCATTCTGTTAGATCACTGCAATAATTAGATACAGTTTTTGGTGTACTTATACAAAAAAAGTACAAATAAAAAGCCTGATCCTCTGCAGCCAGTTGTCTGTGAGGCTGATTATAAGTTGCTTCTTCTCAGAAGCTTTATGGTTTATTATTATGGTATTTCTCTTCGCTTCCTCATCATAGCTGATGTCATGAGCCACCTTTGTAACTGCTAGGTTCTTGAACTACCTGGAGAAGTCATCCCTTATGGTTTGCTGGTGCTAGGGTTGAGATATGGATGTGATTTGTGTAGCAGTCCCTTTCCAGTAGTCTAAAGCACAACACATCCAGAAGATCCTTCTTTTTATTTCTGTGCTACTGATAGTCCATGATGCTTTTCAGTCAATCAGTTATCTGAAAGAGGAGGAATGAGGCCTCTTTTCAGTAGGAGCTATCTAATATTTGTACAACACAGTGACAACACAAACTGATTATAAATTCTGATTATGTCTGCAGGAGCTGGGCACTCAGAGCCTGGGCTACTGCACAGATTTTCAGGCAGTCCCAGGCTGTGGAATCAGCTGCAAAGTCGGTGGCATTGAAGCTGTCCTGGGCATGGCCGAGGAGTGCCTCGATAAACAGGACGCTAACAGGAGCGGGGACGGCCGCGATCCCCTGGGAGATAACACTCTGATCATGCTCTCTGAATCAAATGGTACGTCTGCCTCCAAAGCGACTGCCAGTTGCAGTGTGAGGGCTACACAATGAACCAACAGTGCCGATCAGTGTAAAACAGTCCTACCAGACTAGGAACAATAGAAAGGTAGATTAATGGCAGAACGAGGCAAGGAATGTGAGGGATAAAATACACCTTGAGGAAAACTGAAACTCTCTCCTCCCTCTACTCTCAATCTGTTTGGAATTCAGAAACCTAAAGAAGGATTTAAATGCTTCTAAAGAAGGATTTTAGGTGCATTTAAATGGGTGCTCAAAAAGTCCATACAATAAATAGGCAATAAGGCATACCCAGCAAATTCCTTTTAGGAAAACAAAATGATCCGACAGAGAGCGAAGTCTGCTAATTAGCACTATCTTCCCATGTAGAGCAGTTACCTTTTTCATCTGTTATCTTAATGCTGCATTTTATATCCTACCTTTTAGTTCCATATTAACTTGGACCTTTCATTTTCTTTTCAAGTATCTCTCAAGGCACTTACTTAAAAAAATTCTATTCAGTAAATGCATAATAAGGTGAATTATAATCTATAAACCAAGTTTCAGTGCCTGATGTTTTGATTTAGCCAATATATTTCTCTTTGTTTCAGGCTCTGTGGAAACCGCTCCGCTCCTTTGTAGTGTAGGACGGAAAAAAAAAGTATTTAAAGCCTCTGTCAGGAAGGTCATCAGTTGTATTCAGGAGACGTTCTGTTTCCTGACCTTTTGAGGAAAGCTATTAGAATGATTAAAATAAAGACTTTAATCATCAGAACTGTGCCATTTGTGAATGGTGCTAATGTAATATTTTCTTACCATAATGAGGTAATCTACAAGTTGTTTTTATTGTTTATTAGAACAAAACCACTTTTTTTTAAAACTAAAAATGCCTTTTATATTTAAAATAAGTCATTGGTTGTGAGAACAATACAGCATGACATTTATGAAATGTGAATACTGAACCTTTTAAAAAAACAATGCAAATGTGCAAGGACAAATGTATGTGAGTACTTCCATTAAGCTCATGCCACTGTTCTCCTGCGTACTTCTGTATAAACAAGCACAGAAGTGAGTCTTGAAGCAGAAAAGTTTTATGAGGCTGTCTTCAGATAGCGTCTATGAGTTTTTGGCTGAACATGACAGCAGCACTTTGAACAACGCTTAATGCCATTTGACAGGTCACCAGATAAAGTGTCATGGATATGGTCATTGGCAGAACTCAAAAAAATTTAAGAAAATGTCTCCAGAGTATCTTTCTGTAGCTAATGCAGCTTGACACTGTCTTCTTAAACGTCTCTGGCTTGTGTCCACAATTTTGAAGTTGCTCAATTTTCTTTTGTTTGTAGACAAAGGTCCATCAGCTTCTCAGACATACTCGGTGTTGATTGGAAATCGTGAGTGGATGCGACGCAATGGCTTGCATATTGCAAATGATGTTAACGATGCAATGACAGACCATGAAACCAAAGGACAGACTGCCATACTAGTGGCTATAGATGGTAACTGCTGTTGAAGTGGCTTAATATATATCGATTGATACTACAGTTGAAAGAACAAAAGCAAACTAAAGTAATTGATCTATGTCTTAGCATTAGTGACAAACTACTTATCTTTCAGCACAAAACTGTTTATGAACTGTTAAGTATCAAGGTGTTCTTAAAAGAAGCTTTCACCTCAAAACAATGTTTATAAAATTTTCTTGGGGAGTTTTTAATATAAGTATTAATTTCTGAACCTCCTGTTGTCCAGGACTGTTGTTCAAAAAAGCAGTGCCTGTGCAGGTGTGCCATATGTCCCGTAATCACTTTACATCGCTTAAAGATCACAAATTGACCTACTGCATTATGGATTTCAAAACATGTCGTGAATAAACATGACAATTGCTTGAATCACTCAAGTACGAGAGGAAGCACTAGATTAGACTGAATGAGTTTTGCCACGGGGTTATGTTCTGTGCTGTGCAGAAAGGGATCCTAGACAATACCTCAATATCAGCAGCTGGTATAATGGTGACAGACTGCCAGTGGATCTATGAACTTGATATGGAGCTTCTGACTCAGTTACTGAATAAATATTCTTGCTGCTCCCACAGAGCAATTTTCAGAGGCACTTGTATGTCTCAGCCTGGGTACCATCAATGATCCGGTAAAATCAAATGCTGTTAACATGAAAATAAGGGTGCTGAGGTATAGTTGGCATTTCTGTCACTGCTAATGATAGCAACTGAAGATACAGGGGTGCAAAACTTACTTTAGCCCTTACTTTTGAAAGGTAATGTGCAATAATAAAGCAGTGTGAGATTTTTGTAAATCACGTGAAGGAAACATGGTGCGACTTTCAGTCAATATGTCTTGGAAGAGGTGCAACACTTCTGTGCAAAAATAATTCATTGGAGTAGAGAGCCATCCATGGTACATTAGGGGATGTAAAACCAGAGACTCTTTTCTGCTTCCTCCCACAGGAGTGCCTTCAAGATCTGACCTAGGCACAAATACCAAAACTTTGTCTGGCCCACAGTTGTATTTGTTCATATCAAAAATTCTATGACTCACGTAGGCATGTTTAAAAAGGTTTGCGCCCCTTCTCCTCTTTCTCCTGGTCCCTAAATAGCAAGAGTATTGTTAGATCTGAAACAGGTAAATGAGAAGTGTGTATGTGAGAAAGACCAGACCTTCGAAAACTCTAGGCAGTTGTTCAAGCAATATGAATTGTTCAAGAATATGAGTATTGCTCAGAATGGTTTATTTTACAAGTCAGCAAGGTGTGATGGAGAGAAACTCCTGCTCTCTTGCTGCTGCTTTGCTTCCCACAGCTCTGTTTATCAGAGGATGTTTCTTTCTTTGTGAAGGTGCTTTGTGTGGCATGATCGCAATAGCCGATACCGTCAAGCAGGAGGCAGCCCTTGCTGTGCACACGCTGAAAAACATGGGAATAGATGTGGTGCTGATAACAGGGGACAACAGAAAAACTGCAAAAGCTATTGCTACTCAGGTAAGTAAGAGGGCTGCACAACCCTCTTGTCTGTGTATAAAAAAATGTGAGATGGGGCTCTAAAACTCTGCTTAAGCTGCTGAATTAGGGGTGCGAATTCAGCATTTCCATAGATGTATTAAAGAAAATCTTTTTTTCAATTAGGCTGAAAATCAGGCCAGATCTTATAGCCTGGCTGTAGTAAAGGCCAGCTACTGCATTAAGGATCCTCAGATGCAATTGGAGACAAGCATTCAGTACTTCCCCTGGGGTACGGAGTTTCTTGAAGTACTTGGTCCATTCCTGAACTGAAGCCTTCTGCTTCTCTTCACTGAAAGGCAATCTTATTTTTTGTTAGTGATGAAGGGAAGTTCCTTTAGGATCCAATCCTGTTCCCAGTAGAGAGAAAGAAGATTTCCATTGACTTCAACAGTATCATAATAATAGTAGGGAGAATGATTGTTATGAAGTGGGGCACTCTAAAAGAGGTTGGATTCATATGAGGTTTCATAAATTGTAACCAGCTAACACTGCTCCAAAAGCAAAGCCAAAATCTTGCTCTGTCTAGCTCTAT